AGATCAAGTTATAAAAATAAATACATAAATATTGATGCATCAGTGGTTTTAAATTTACCCTAAATTAATGGTGGGAACTGTAGTTAGCTCCCAACTGTCATCCTTATTAGCACCTTAAAGGAAACTAGGATGGTTATTAATTTATGTATCTTACTGGCTAGATTAACTACGGTCTGGCTAAATTAAATACAGGAATTCATCTTGCTCAAGGATGGGGAGGTGCTGGGAACGTACCAGAGACTTTAGGATAAGGGACTTGCAGACAAGAGCCTGTTTGCACAGTGTATTTCACAAATACAGAACCCCGCACAAGTTGCTTTAATGATTTCAGCAGGCCATGATGGAGCATTACGGCAATCGTTAGCATATCTTCACGTCAGTCCGTTCCTTCTCTTTCAAAATGAGGTCTCAGACAAGTTTGAGCAAATGTTAGAAGGGCAGGACAGGCAGATAACCAGCTTCCCTCAGATTTGAAATACGAAAGCACGCACATCATCAACCCATCTGCTACTGGTCCGTCCATCCCAGGTTTCCAGGCAGCGCCTGAGCATCCTCGGCTTGCTCACAGGTCTGTCCATACCAGGAGAGGATCCTCCAGCCTGCAGCTCAGTCACTGAGAAAGGGTGTTGCAAAATGGGTGACAGCAAACGTAGAAGTTTGCGTACAGCACCTGCAGTGCTCTCCAACAAAGCCTCTCAAGTGTTGGATCTTATCGTCCATGCTAAGCCCCAACCTGAGCTGTCCCCGAGCTCCGCTAGAGACCCTCTGCTCTGTGTGCGGGGCCAGGTTGGGTCCCAGATGTAATTGGAGATGATCTCTGCTCCATCTTGAGAAAGGCTTGATTAAATCATGAGCTGCGGAAGTGCAGCACTACCATGGCCACCTCTTCATGAGCAACCTGAGGAACAGGACCTGCGTCCTCCAGATGAGGTGTGAGGGGGTTCTGAGCAGCTCCGTTTCATGAATTTAAAGACGGAACTTCGGAATGGGCTGACTTGTGCTAACACTGATCTGGCCACATATCTGAAGCATGAAGAACAATTCGACATAGATTTCTACACTTAATGCATTTTTCCCATTATTCACTTCAATCTGGCAGTTACTAACTAGCATGCTACAAGGGACCTTCAAATTTGCTCAGACACTGCCTTTATGCTTATTTCCATTTCTAAAACTTATTATTATTATTATAGGTTTCCTTTAATGATTTAGGAAAAAACATATGAAACCACATTTTATAGTAGCTTTGATAATTTTGTGCAGATTTTGGCCTAAACTTTGTGGGGCAGCATGAGAAAGAGTCAAAAGAATTTGGATTTTGGTTTGGGTTTTTTGATCCTATCTAATGCAAAACACATACCGTAGTTTTTGCTCTTTTAATTCCCGGTATTATTTGAAAAACTTTAATATTAACCTTTTTTGAAACCTGCACTGTGTTTAGTTATATTTAGAAAGTTTTCCCACAGGGAGCTTTAAATACGACAATGTACAACTAAACTCTGTAGCTGACCAGCAGAGAAACTAATATGCAACCACCCACATGGCATGATTTGCAGCTATTCACACATGGGGAGTATTGTCCTTCAAGGTTTTGTCAAAATACTTCTCTCCACAAAATTAAAAAAAACTTTGTAGGAATTACATTGAAGAAAACTTTTCAACCATTTTTATTAAAACAGAAAAGATGAAACTGTAAGATCTAACTCAAACCTGTGCTACAGAAATAAACATTTAGAGATGCCCAAGGCCGTCTCCATGAAACCCCCGTATAAATTTAGCTACACGGTCGTAGCAATTCCAGCGCTTTTTGGAAAAAAGAAATTTCCAATTTCTTACAGAAATACATTGCAACCCAAGCAGGACTTCTACTGCGGCAATTATCCTGGTAGCTGCACCAGTGTGAACTCCCTTTCCAACCAATCACTTCCAAAATCTAGGTCTGAGGTACGCCCCGGGGAACAAATTCATCGCACTTGTATTTTCAAAAGCGTCTGCAATGTAGCCAAAGCAAGGAATTCTCTCATAAGAGTTCTGCAGACACTCCTGGGCCTCCCGAGTCTTCTGTTTAAGCCAGCTATAGCAATTTGCAATTTCAGGACCACATTTTATTAACGCCCACACTTCTTTCTCTCCCATCTGCTACCGTTATTCATCAAATGCTATGGTTTGTGAGGTAGAAATCATCTCCTTACATCATGCACGTTGCACCTAGGCAATGTGGCCCAAACTGAGCAAAGTCTGAACTTTTTCCTGATTAGTCTCACAGGCTTGCCCAGCTCTGCAGAAGAAATTTTACCAATGAACTTCATAAAAAAAGCAATAATGGCTGTTACCACAGGGTAGGCTGCTGGGTTAATAAATCATAATCACCGACCAGTCTAACAACAATAAGTGTCTATTATCTTTACTGTGAATGATGAATGAACATAAGATAAATTGCCCCTCATCCTGGTATAAAATTTTCATTCCAGAGATACAGTTACGTTACTTGACAGCAAACATTTATATGGAAAGCCCACCTTTATTTCACTGCTGTTAAATGAATATAAAAGAAAGTCCCGTTCTAACTCTAGCTGTGTAGAACTGCGCCATTCAAAAGCATGGTGTAGCTCTACAGAGCACAGAAACCTCTCAACGATATGATGCAAACAATCTGTATAAAATTTTCCCTGCACAAGTAGTACCTTTACTAACGTTCTTATTTGGGCCCTTGGGCTTTCATCCAACAAGCTCAGAATTCAGATTGCTCTGATACTCACAAAATCCATTGGCAGCCTAACAGTTGCAATTTGCCAATAATCTTCTTAACCGAAGGACCAAAAATGATGAGAACTGACCTTCTTTAATCACTGCCTGGCCTTAGTTTACTACATCTTCAAGACATCTTTCTAGATGTGTGCAAAAAAAAAAAAAATCTAGAACTTGACTAAGTTTAAAAACCAATTATAAAGCCTAAAATATGGTTCTTTGAAGTAGTAACCATAGAATAGAATCATAGAATACGTTGAGTTGGAGGGGACCCATCAGGATCATGGAGTCCAGCTCCCACAACATTTCAAGTTGTTGCCTTACATATAACATGTAATACCTAATACAGCCAGGCGTTAGACTCGATCTTGAGCAATACGGAAACTAGACCGATAAAAGCCATAACGGACCATTACTGTCAACTGAGAAAAAACCACCCACACACACTTTTTAAATGGCTTCAACCCAATCTGTAGGGCTTCCATTTGGTTTTCAGAAATTTTTTTCTGATTTTTTCAGAAACCATAAATCTGTAAGTTTACCCTGTTTCTTCTAAGATCTTCTATCTTCTTTTTCTCCACCCCTATTGCCCATGAACTCCTCTGCAGTATGTTCCAAGCACAGCCTGAATCTGCTCATTTTCCACTGCCCTCAACTTTAAAACTCAGCATCTAAAACATCTGAGAGGTATTCGATGCCTTCTGATTGCTTTTTGTTGACTTCCAAAGCCCTATACTGTTATACAGCCATCTAGTTTTAAGTGTGCTTATTTTGTTAATAACTTTTATTAATCTACAGTTGCTCACTTGACGTGTCTATACCTAATGTGTGGCCTGTTTGAGTCTGACACTTAATTTCATAGCAGATGGTATATTAAAGGCTCACCAGTTTATGCAGGTAGCAGCTCTTTTTTCTCACAGAGCAGCTGTTATGATATATGTTTGGAAATATTTTACATGCCTCTGTATCACACTCTTTTCCCTTTGCTCTTTCACGGAGGTGGGAATGCAATGAAGTAGACAGACAGAGGCGGCCTTGTTTGTGAGATGGCAAAGGCAATTTCAGTTCAGACTGAACTAATGCACAAAAATACTCAGCAAAGACTTGCCCTAATTCATCCACAGCGAAAATATGTTGCTTGCAGCTACAGGGCTCATGGAAAACACAATGAAGAGAAACAATCTGCACAACACAATAACAGCTTGAGTGCAACATGATGGATGGTTTGCATGCATGCATGACATGAAACAGTCTCAAAAAAAAAAAAGAAAAAGAAAAAAACACTCAAGAATGCCGAGTGCCTAAAGGAAACCACATACTGTCAGAAGAGAGTTATAAGACAGAATTAATCCTCAAGGAGGCAAAAAAGCCAAAGTTGGAGGGACAACAGCAATCCACTGGCTGCTTTTCACAGCCACTCACTACTATCCAACTCTTAGTTTACGTCTGCTATTATTCTAGATTATTGTTGGGATCACCCTGCATGGCTCGACCTTAAGGAGAAGGAGCTGTGGCGTTGATCTGCACGGCTCGACCTTAAGGAGAAGGAGCTGCAGCATTGAGAAGCTGTAAACAGCTGGATATCTGCAGGGCTCGGCCTTGAGGAGAAGGAGCTGTGGTAAACAAGTAAGAGGAAGCAAAGGAGCGCATGGACACCTGCAGGCAGCGAATCCTGACTGTGTGAGAAGCGCGTGGACAGTGCGTGATATTTTGTATATAGCCAATTGCAATAAAGTGTGTAACAAGCTGCAACCAATCATGAGTGTGTGTGCAGTGACTAAACAAAAATTATGATATATATCGGAGTCAGACAAGACAATAAACGGCTTCGGGATATAACTCTCAGAGTTGTGAAGTCCATCCTTCTCCCGCAGATTATAACGTCATGTTACAGGCATACTATCTCAGAAATAACGAGCATTTAAAGAAATAAATGGAAGGGGAGGGTACATGAAGCAGTCTCATGGGAATATGCTGCTCCTCTTTCCAGGATGAGATTTTTACTTAGGAGAAATGCTCAAGCCCTTGCAATTAAAGAAAAATATTTACATTTTTTTCTGAAGAGAGCTGAATAAGAGTGCAAAGCAAAAGAAACAAAAGTAAAGTTTGCCAAATCGTGACACTCAAATTCAGAAAGCTCTGTGCTGCTGCCACTCACGGCTGCTCTACCCCTGTCCTAGGCTGGAATACCACAAGATGGAAACATATTAATGTTACAGAAAGCAGAAAATTATATTGGCAGAAGGAACCTCTGGAACTCTATTTTTACTACATGAGTTTCACACCTCTATGTGTGAATTTCTGTAGATTTACCAGAGCATTTTAGTTTATTAAAAAAAGTTTTAACTGACAAGTCATTAAAATAAAAACTCTCAGCAGCAGCTTGCAAAGCATTCTAACAAGGCATTCCTCAAATTACTAATTTTCACAGTTAAATTATCAGCAAATGACACCTACTAAAACTAGAAAACGAATACTGTGGGTCTTCTAAAGTAAAAATGAAATACAAGAAAACTGTGTCATCAGTGAAAGAACAGATGAGTAAGGTACTCCAGTCTTACTTCTCGTCTATTTGGTGTTGTGATAGTAGCTGGAGTTTGACATCCCTCCCCCTCGGATGGCGTGGACAGCCGTTGGAGAAGACGCTGGGTAATGACCAGGGCGGATGGGCTTGGCTGCAGAGGAGAAGTAGGAAACGAAACAAGACATTCAGCTTTCACACAAGGTGTTCTACCTTAACCTTCTCCTTTAGTACAAACCCCATTGCCTCCAACCAAGGGGCTGTGCTGGGCAGAGTGGTCTGTAATCCAGCTCTGAGGAACATAGCGTTCCCTTCCCTCAGCCAACAACACACACATCCATTTTCTGCTTCTGACAGAGCCCATGCATGGCCCTCATGTCTGCAAAGATTATGGACTGTCTATACAACAGAGGGAAGTCACAACCCACTTGGTGGTCAGTGATGTACTTCCTATGTCCAATTTGACTATTTATATCACAGAATCATTAAGGTTGGAAAACACCATTAGGATCCTCAAGTCCAACCCTCAACCCAACACCCCCATGCCCACTAAACCATGTCCCGAAGTGCCACATCTACATGTTTTTTGAACACTTCTAGTGATGGTGACTCCACCACCTCCCTGGGAAGCCTGTTCCAATGTTTGACCACCCTCTCGGTGAAGAAATTTTTCTAGAAAAAATATTTTTTTTCCTAGAAAAAGAAGAAATATCTAGTCTAAACCTCCCCGGCACAACTTGAGGCTATTTCCTCTCGTTCTATCGCTGGTTACTTGGGAGAAGAGACCAACACCCACCTCACCACAACCCCCTTTCAGGTAGTTGTAGAGAGCAATGAGGTCTCCCTTCAGCCTCCTCTTCTCCAGACTGAACAACCCCAAAATATCATATACATCAATGAATGATATCAATATCATTCCTGAAGATGCTGAGACATAGCTGCCAATGGCTTTCTACAAGAGGTAGCATACATCAGGAAATATTGTGTGCTGCCTAATTCTCTTTCAGGTTTTACGACACCAGGATTAGCATCACCATCCAAAACATTATCCTTCTACTTTAGCAATTCCAACAAATCATTTAAAAAATTGCCCCATCTTAGACACCATTTGATTGTATACATCCATTCAGATTGCACCCTAAAGATATATCAAGCATCTGAATTATATAAGAAGATTTTTGATTCTACATAGTCCAAATTAAATCACGAAGAGGAGTAGTCAGGAAAAAAGAGAGGAAAGAACAAGGTCTAGAAACACAAGGAAAGAATGAAAGCAGAGAGAGAATATGTGGGGGAGGAAAACGAAAGTGAGAGACTAATTTAGAGAGACAAGTTTTCAGGTCACTAGAAGGGCACACAAGACCCATTATGCCATTTATTTACCGAGTTAAATAGCAGAGGCACTTTAAACTTTAGGTGGGGCAGATTCTATTAAAAAGTGAAGTCTTTGAAGGTTCCCGTGCAACAGAGGAGAAGCAGACCCTGTAGTTTGCCCTGGACTGCTGCTTTCAAAGCGCTCTCTATTTAAACATGAGCAAACAGCCCAACCATGAAGTCTGTGAGCAACCACTAACCCTTTAGCTCCATGTCCTTACCAATTTGAGCAGAGTGTGCTCTCCGTGCCATGTTTTTGGCTCTCACAGCCTCCTTAATGCGATCTACCTCCTGCTGGTACCGTTTGCGGTCTCGCATGGCGTTCTCCTTTGCCTCCTTCAGTGCGCTCTCCAGGGCCTTAACTCTCTCTGCCGTAGCTCTAAGTCGTTTTTCCAGCTTAGGAAGCTCACAACGAAGATCTGCATTATCACGTACCAGCTGCAAGAAAAGGTTTCAAAGATATCCTGTGAGAAACTATGGGAAAGGTCCTCTTACAAGGAGAGGCAGAAAATACCACCGATTCCTCTTCACACCTTGTATGCTATGAATTCCAGGAATGACTGTAAAAAGCTTATGTCAAAGACATAATTTTCCAGAAAGATGAAAGAAGTGAGTTTACTCCATTCAACAGAACTTCACACATCTGATCCTGGAGGACGAGAGCTCTGGGACAAACCCTGCTACTACGATACCGACTTCTCTAGACATTAAGAGCAAGTGTGGCAGCAACTCTGCATTTTGGAACGCAGAAATGCCTGGCATTTCACGAATACTTGATCACCTCATTATTTCAAAATGGCAATGCTTAAATATGGCTTATAGACAACACTGGGTATCATGAAAAATTTATCAGCTCCACTGGTTATGGCACCCTTCCCTATTTGTTCCCTACTCAAGCATATGGGAAAATTGGAAACTTCAATGCCTCAAACATTGCTAAGAAACTTAAGGCCTGTAGCTATAAATGTGATGATTATACGCAACTTCAAATTCATGTACTTCCTCAATTAAATATGAACCTGAGCAAGATCTATCGATTATCAGAATAACATCTAACTACACTTGCAACAATAGCCAAGACACAGAACTGATTTTTTCATAAATAAAAAAATTGATGCAAACAGTTCGAAAATCCAGTATGACTTCTACTGCACAGATTATACTGCTACTATAAGTCAACAGAAAACTGTTCCAAAGGTATGATTCTCCCTTTTCTGGAGTAAAGGGAGGAAAGTGGTTTAACTACCACATTAATAATAGACTAAAGCAACAGCACGTACTAACATTCATACGTTGTTTGACAATCAAAATGTTTTACACCTGCTAGTCCAGGCTTAGTGCCAGAAGAGAAATACAAATAAAGCTAAAAAAAAAAAGTCACAATGTGCTTTTTCTGCAAGTGTTGAACCCTTGTTCTACCAAACAGTTATGATATGAAATAAGAGCAGGATGATATCACATTCAGGTCAAGTCCAATGTCATTCCTCCCTTTAGGTTTCTTATGAGATATGGACTCCTAATTGGTTTTGAGTAAATATACGCTAATGAGAGCTATAAAAATCCAAATCTGAAAACCCAGCAGATGCATGAACTGAGTGCAAAAAAGGCAAAACAGTAAAAGGAAAAACACTCCTAACATGTCCCAGTTTCCACATTCAGAAACTAGGTCTTTAAACCATCTGTTCACTGGGAATCTCAAAATACTGAACCTTAGCGAACGCGTGTCATGGTCCAGCACTGCTTGCTTTTTTGGCACTTCCACAGGAATAAAGCAAATCTCGGAGAACACTGAGTCTCACTAATAACAGACTCAGAAGCTGCGCTGGAGAATGTTATGTCACTATTCAAAAATGAAATCAAAAGTACCCGTACTACTTTGTGCTCCACACCTGAACAGTGGGACACAGTACAGAAATACCGACAGCTGACGAGGGTGGAAGCATACTTACTGGCAGAAATGATCCAGTTTTATCTAACGAGGTGCTACCTAGATATACACACACACCCCACTGATACATACACACTTCCAGTAAGCAGGTGGTAAGTCTCTTTCCTTGACGTATACCCGAGACACTGGCCTACCACACATCCCCTCCACCCCGCATTTGCACGGTGAGTACCTAGGGTGAAGGGCTCTCCGTAGCCCTTGTCTCTCTGAACAGCAGGATTACAAACGGAACGGGAACTCCATGAATGAGGGAGGAGACAGAGATGGACATGCCCAGAAATGGCCAACCTCAGCATCCTGGGGAGGCATCAGCCCTTAAGCTGCACAAAAACCCCTCTATTTCTTTGCTTTCCATATCTGCTGGTTGACTCCACTCATGTCACCTCCAAGGGTGCCTCTAAGCAGCTTTAGACCAGGAGTCAAAACTGGGGATGCACAATCCATCTAGAAACCAGCTATCAGCACCCAAGGTAGTAACAAACACTCTATTCTGGTTTTTATGCATTATACCAATACAGTGACTAGCAGTCTTGCCAAAACTGCTAGAGTCTGTTTTCACAGAAAAAAATAATTGTCCATTTTAACATATTGATAAGAAGTACAGGTAGTAGGAAGAGCAGCTCTACCACCAACTCTTAATGCCAACAACTTTACTTGAGAACGTCCTCAGACAGTACCTGTTACCTTCCAAAATTATATTTTTAAATATAAAAAAGTATTTTTTTAAAAAAAAGGTAATTTGTAATACTACAGAACAGTGATGCATGCAAAGTTCTTCCCATAGGTGAATTTTCAGAGGCAATTACTATTAATCAATGAAAAAAAACACAATAGCTTTTGATCTAATAGTAACTAGGCACCGGAAGGAAGGAGAGAAAGGAGGAAGGAGAGCCCCTACCTGTTTGTGAACCTTTGTAAGCTGTTCCAGGTTGTTCTCAAGAAAGGAAATTTTCTGCTTCTGCGCAGCACTTCCACCTCCATCATCGCTGTCAAGTTCAACGCTCTGCACAGACAGTTGCAGTATTCAGCAAAGCCAGGCAGAAACTCAAGGGGAAGCTCAGGTCTTTTGTAAATTTAAGCTTCCCAAAGGCAGAAATGTCTTACAGAGCCCCAAATTAAAGACAGTTTACATGTTCATTTGATATTTAAGAGCCACATTCCCCACTACACAAAAAATACACTATTCTTACTAAACAATTAGGGGGGGCGATCAGGAATAGATGGTACTCTAAATACTCAATCAAACTTCAAAGGACTGAAAAGCGTTGCGAAGCCTTTGACTATGCAGCTTCAGACTCTTCTTCAAGAGTTAAAAATACATTAATTTCTGCCAAATAATAACTTCGCCAGGAAAAGGCTGACTATTCACAAGCCCATAGAAAGGGCCGCAGCATTCAGTGTAGCGTAAGTTAGTGCAAGTTATATGGAGTAATTTCTGGTACCTATTAATACCATCTTTGAGAATTTTGTAACTGAACTAAATCGGATTGGTTCATTTCACTTAACCACCAAGACTTGTCCTTAACAAATTAGGACCAAATAAAGCTAATAAACAGCTGAACAGTTTTAATCTTATTACTCACTGTTACTGAAAAAGACAGCAACCCGTTTTGTAACAACATGCACTAAGGGCTTCCAGCAAATCACAAGAATACTGCAAAAAAAGAGAAGTCTACGGTTTAAAAGAGTATATAATCTTACTTTTTTAACGCGGGTGGTGAGATCTTGCACAAACAGCTTGCGTAGGTTGTGAAGAGTCTGAAGTTCTCTTGCCTGGAATCAAAATAATAATAAAAAACCCCACAAGCCAGTAAGACACAGTGGATCCTCTCAGGTAAAAAATCAGGTAGAACAGATCTGAGTAGATAATATGACTTTATTGTGATTTACTTATAGAGATGTACCAGCCAGTAGGTATATGCAGCTCACAGAGAGGCAGAGCCCACGCTGTTCCCCACTGAAGAGCTCTTGCACCTCCCAAGGTGTTCACCACACCAAAGATACTTTGGAAAATATGTCGACTTTGTCTTAGGGAAACAACAGCAGAAAGCTGAAGTCTCACAAGTTGGCCACTGTTACACACATCGAGTGATGTGAAAGAGCTCTGGATTCCCTCTACAGCAAATGCACTGGCCCGCTATGAATGCTTATTGCTGGGCACTTCAAGATGCTTTTTAAGTTTTGGCAAAAACCCAGGCCCAGGCTTTCCCAGCTTTTTTGTATGAATCGACTTCTCGGGGTCAGTGAAATAATCACCTTACTGGAGATGTGACACAAGGAGTGGCAGCCCTGCACCTACTCCTGAAGGAAGGAAGCACTAAACCATTTGCAGGAAAGGAAACTATACGGATAGGCAGTTCACCCCAACCCCATACTGCACCGAAGCCATGCTGAAGAGAACTGTCTTTCCAAAGTTGCTAAGAGCAACTTTAGCTTTTCCGTTTATGCTTATAAACTGGCAGACAGGAATTTAAATGACTTAATAAGCTCCACCCCGACTACAAGCTTTTGAACTCAAATATTTTATTTTTCTCTCTCAAAAGAAAAAGGCAAAACTGACGAGAAACCAAAACCAAGAAGCTTCTTTCATGGACAGCTAGAAACTACATCACAAGCACAGCTTACTTATGTTGAGTGATGTGGTACCCAGAAGAAGCACCGTGTGCCATTCGAAGTCAAACAGCCGCAGAGCACACACCTCCCCCAGAACTCCCATTCGGGGTGCTGCCCCAGCAGACCTCCAACCCTGTCACCCCCTCCCACACACGCCCTGCTTTTGCTTTCTCACCAGCCCAGCACTGGGAAGGAGAACAAGTCAAAGCAAAGGCAGTAGCTGTGTTCCCACCAAGACTGTCCAGAGAATCATAGAATCTCTGGCGGGACCTGTCAAGGCCATCTAGTCCACCCCCCCGCCATGAGCAGGGACATCCCCAACTCGACCAGGTTGCTCAGAGCCCCGTCCAGCCTGACCTGGGATGTTTCCAGGGATGGGGCGTCGACCACCTCTCTGGGCAACCTGGGCCAGGGGTTCACCACCCTCACGGTGAAAAATTTCTTCCTTAGATCTAGTCTGAATCTGCCTTCTTTTGGTTTAAAGCTTGTCCTACCGCTGCAGTTCCTTGTAAAAAATCCGTCCCCATCTTTCCTATAAGCCCCCTCTCACCCCGGCAGCTGCAGGAAGGTCTCCCCGGAGCCTTCTCTGCTCCAGGCTGAGCCCCCCCAGCTCTCCCAGCCTGTCCTCCCAGCAGAGCTGTTCCAGCCCTCGGAGCGGTGCTGGGGCCTCCTCTGGCCCCGCTCCAGCAGGTCCGTGTCTCTCCTGTGCCGAGGGCTCCGGAGCTGGATGCAGCACTGCAGGGGGGTCTCCCCAGAGCGGGGCAGAGGGGCAGAACCCCCTCCCTCGCCCTGCTGGCCACGTGGCTTTGGGTGCAGCCCAGGATACAGTTGGCTTCTGGGCTGCGAGTGCTTATGTCCATCATCCCTCCCTTCTCAAAGTAATCACCCCAGTGACACACAGTGCCTGTGGAGCCTGATGGAGCCCCCTTACCAGCGGCAGGTATGAGCCACCACCATTTGGCCTTTGATGGCTCATGTTTTCTTGTAATTTGCTATGCTTGACTTTTAATTCCTGTCGCAGTAATTATTAAAACTCTAACAAATTGAATAAAATTTTGTTGTAAGATAGTTCAAGGATGTTTATTCAAAAATTAAAAAAAAAACATCTGGGTTTCTGTAAGCTGACGGCATCGTACTGCCTAACTGTGATTTCCAGCTGTCTTACTTATTCGGTGTACGGGGCAAATCAAGTCTACATGCAAAGTATCTGACAAGTACAGTTCATATCAGAAAGGCTGGTTAAATCTGTCCCTCGCATGAGTTTCTTTTAACAAGGGTTATATCTGGGGGAGCTATCAGGAGCCAAAGCTGAAAGGACCAGAATAGTTCAGCTTCAGTAATGCACTCTAATTGATCCTGAGGCCCCTATAAGCTTAATTTTTAAAGCATCACATAGAGGAGAAAATGCTGCTTTTGAATTAATAACCATGTTAACACTAGCAAAAAATCACTGTATGATGCTCCTAAACCAGCTATGGTTTTGACCAGCTTCTGAGATCTTTGAGAAGGCTTGCATATTTTAAAACAGATAAAACTGAAGCTTCCAACAAAACTGTGCAGCAACAGCTTCAGGACTGGTGTCATCCATCATAGACTGCATTTTTAACGTTGCATGCACAACATCATATTTCTCCACAAGCTTTTACACTGGTCAAGTTCGAGTCAGGTATGTATCACTTTATTGTAGCTACACTACCCAGTAGGCTGATTATTTCAGGTGATTTGAAGGAACAAGGACAGCAAAACAAAGAGTGCCGGTAGACTTACCAGTGACAGCTTATTCACAGGAGGCAACAATAATAGTACTTAATCTTAAATTTTAAAATCCAATCTCACCATTTGGCGAAATGCACAAATTTAGCCTATTATGAATATTAAATAGCCTTATTAAATAGCCTATATTGGTAATTTCCTTGGGCACAGATACAAGTGATGAAGACCTAGGGGGGAAAAAGCTCAGTAAAGTGTAATTAAGACATACCACTGTTTCCTCCAGCCCCTTAAGATCTTCTCTTGCTTGTTCCCTTTTATCATTAAGCAGTCTAGAAAGATCACAACATTAAACACAAATCAAAATTGTTGAAGTCATATAAAACAGAAGAGAATCAATCAACATTCAGTTTGAGTAAAACATCTGCAGATACGAGCAAATCGTACATCTCTCTGCATCTGTAATTATGCTTTCGACTGTCCCAAATATGCAGCTTTCTCACATGGAATGGCTAGGCACCATCTCAATTTTGTGTGTCCACACATGAAATTTTTGTTTCTCATTTCCAGGAAAGGCTTTTACTCAAATGTCTGATATATTACTTAAAAAACAAAACCCAAAAAAGCCCACCCAACACCCCCAACTTCTTTCTTGTTTGTTTTTGCTATGCATTAAGGAATGAGGGATTTAACACTTGCTATGATATTTCATAAAACCAGAGCTCTAAAAACATCTTTTTTGGCAAGTATAAAATGCACTCTTGAAAAACCTATGATATAAAAATATGGAGTAATTGGTAAACAGTTATTAGCACTGTCTGTTGGTTTTGTTACTGAAATGACATTTTCAGTGTGAATATTTCAATGCAAATGCAACTCACTAGCACATCTCCTGTGGGCACCTTGAGAGACACTATATTCAAGGACACCAGATGAGAAAACTGTTGACTTACATGAGCTTTTCCAGCTTCATTTCTCTCTCCTGGTCCTCAATTTTTAATTTATCATAATCAGCACTCAGTTTCTCTTGTTCCAGTTGCAGCTTCTGATTCATACTAGAATGCAAAAGAAGTCATCAGTACAGCTCAGACCGGAACCCCATAAACAAGGGTGGGTAAATCTCCATAAACAAAATGGGGTTACACAGAGAAAGTAAAGTTGTAGATCTCTACTGAAAAATTCTGGAAGAAATTAAGTGTAAAGAATCTGAAGAATGATATTTCAAAATATTTGAGAATTAAATTCAGTGGCTTGCTGCCTTTATCTTAAAGGACACAAACTGTTCTTGCAATCTTTCTGTCCCGCTTCCTCACGTTTCTCATTTCCCTATTATTAGTCTTTGGCCACACAATAAATATGATGAAAGAATGAGCACTACATCAGGTTTGCCTAGATTATGAACACTGACTAAAAGAAGAGTAGAGGAGCAAAGAATTCCATTTTTCAAGTGCTGGAGTTTCTGAGTAACAGAGTTATACTGCTGTGTCAGGAAGAAATATTAAGGGTTTGAAAATGGGACACATTCAAGTCACCCAGACTTTCAGAAAGTCTGTGGCAGGACTAGTTGCTATCAGGGGCCCTCAAAACCTTTATCTTTTAAAATCTTTTCTCCTCCAAGCTTCTCTTACCTACTGACCTCCAGGTGTAACATTATTCTTTCTTTTTCCTCTTTATAATTTTATGGACTTATTAAAGCTCCACAGTAAAGAACTAGGCACTACAATCCACCATGCAAAATAATTAGAGGGTGGGCTGTTGCATGTAAGGATATCACTTTCTGTAAGACACCAAAATACGTAGACATCAATTAAAACTAACAAAGCCAACCCCAGAACATCCCTATGGTGCCACAGAACAGGGCAGGAACAGAGAAAGCGATGGAGCGAGTCAACATACTCTCTGATTTCATCGATTATTTTCTGCTTCTCTTCAATTTCATCCCTCAGCCGGGACAGCTGCTTCTGGTGGGCTTCCCTGTGACTCTCCATCTGCTGCTCCAGGGCCTTCTGCAGCGTGCAAAAAACAGAGCCATACGTGAAACAGCAATCAGGTAACACACAGCTAAGCTTCCTTCTTCCGTGTCAGCTAAACCAACCTATCTTTCTGGATTTGAGTGAAGCTTAGCAAATCAGGTTAATTCAGGAATCTGCCTGATATATCTTTCTCTGATTACAAAACTGTGCAGCTACTCATCCACACATTTAATTCGGACAATGTACACCAGTTTCTACTCATTTCCTTGCAAAAACTATCGCATGTGAAAGCCAGGGTCTTGGCATATCAAGTGCCAAGAATGACACTGGTTTTTACCAGTTCTCTATTATTTCACCTGTTTATTCACCAAGAAAATACATGTACAGCTAGACCTGAGACAGAAATAAAACCTGAAACACCCTACCCCTCTCTGAGAATTGTTTATCCACAGTCCTGTTATTCAAATTCTAGGATTAGAGATATCTCAAATAGTAAGAAAAACTTAATGCATGCCTTTAGATGGCTAATAAAAGATTGGCTTTTTTCTTCCAGCTGCAACGAATAATTCTACATACAACTGCTTTAATACTTAAACTTTTTATAATGGAGGTAAAAGTTCTGAGGCTGACAAACTTCTATCACTATCCTTGTAAAATTATATTTTTCCTTTTATGCAATTTGCAACCCCATCAGAAACACAACTCGCACGTTATTGCCTAACATTTCTTCTTTGCATTCCAATGGAAGAAGAAAATACCAGAAAACACGTTTATATTTCATTATTATTTCTAGGAGATAGACAGAATTCTTGCTAAGCAATTTGGGAAAGTGGTCTGGCCTCTTTTTTATCAAGTACCTAAATTATGTTAACCCCAGTATTCCGATTCATTACTTCACAAATTGACTTTCAGCAAAGTTCCACTGGCAACAAAAAATCAGAGTAACATAGAAGTGAATCAATATAATTTTTCACTTGTATATAACAAAACTGTTCTCAACTATGGATGCAATATACTGGCTTTTATATTTTGGTTGTCTGTTTGTGTGATTTGAGGAACCCGGGCACCTCCAATTCGGCAAACATGGTCCACCACATGTCTCTACTCTTTGAAGCTACCTCAGCTTACAAACTGGTCTCAGAAGACACACTCACCTCAGATATTCACACTATGACTTACTTTTTTTGCCATCATCTGGTCAACAACCTCAATACTAGCAAGTTCTCTAATTCCACATTGCAAAGGTTGCTCAATTACACGAGGTCAGGTTTTCTAACAGAGGCTGAAAGTGTTTTCTAAAAGCACACAACATGTGCAGGAAGAAAATAATCACACCCTAATTATCAGCTTAAAGAACGATCTCACTGAGAAATGCCTTCTAAAATTGCCACACCCCATACTACCTTCATCTCCTCTGCGTCCTGAAGCCGGGTCAGATGCTCCTTCTCCTTATCCTTGAAACTGACTTCGTGCATTTTTTCTGTTTCAAGTTGGAGACAGTTGAGAATTAACCGCACGGTTCCAGGACAGGCTACATCCAGCCATTTAAAAAAAACAACCAGTTCCTCTTTTTGCAGGGGGCACGGGAGCAGGGGAGACAGCTTTGGAGGGGCAGAAACAGCCACGGTTTGCAGTACCCACACTGTGACCATACTGCTCAAACCCCCTTTTCCTTTACTAACAGGCCACATCGTTTTCAGCCCACCCAGCACCTTTCCAACCTACCCTTGTTTCCCTACTTATCGCAATCCTCCTTGTCCCCGTTCACTTTCTGCTGGGAAACGGTGCCTCCAGAACCATTTCTTATGAGTGGAGTAGGAAGATCAGGAGATGGAATAAAAAATTATAGTCTAAAAATGCAGGAGGTGTTAAAAAAAAAAGGTATTGTCACCACCTGCTGCTCCCAGAGACAGAGAAGTTCCCTTGTGCAGAAATCCACAATACAGTTGAGGCTACTAGGTCACATTGTAATTATACATAAACCAGGAGCTTAACAATGCTACAAGAACTGCTTTTGATACACATTTTCCACATTAAAACAGAAGAGGAAAAAAACAGTAATTATTAAAATGAAATCAGCTGGATCCTATATAGGAGGTAGGAAAGACACACCTCTACTTGACCCTAAGGGAAGCAGCTTCGGGCAGGACATTTGCCAGAGGGACAACTGAAATTAGATGAATATCCAAGAATTTTACAGAATAGAGATTTAGCAAGATTGATTGGTACCACTTGGCTAAAGTATTTGGTGGTGGGTTTTTTTATTTCTCACATCATTAAAGCACAAGGTAAAGCTTCTCATAAAGTTTTTGATTCTTTTGAAAAAAAATTAAGTTTCTCTGTATTTTGTGAATGGATTAGGCTGAAGGGATAATTCTTTTTTTATCTGAAGAGCAATATACTACAAGGAAGTGCAATGTGTTAAACATTCTGAATCACAATTTTACGTCTTCACTGCAAAATACTATGCAGACAATAAAACGTTGTAGGACTACTGTACATATGATACTTCAGCCAATACTGAATTTTCTAAGATATGGTAAAGTAACTGTTGTACCTTGAGCACGTAACTTGGCAAGTTCTTCATTGAGAGAGTCCTGTGACTCTTCCAGCTGCCTTCTCTTCTGCTCCATATTTTGCATGTAGTCTGTAAGGGACTTGATCTTTGCTTCATGCTTTAAAGACAAGGGGAATAGTAATGAGACATAAGTACGACAGCTTGTTACCCAGGAATTCAGGTACTGTGCTACATAAAGGAGGAAAAATAGAAAGCTCTCCACATGCAGAGCTGATGACTAGGAGAAAATACAGCAGAAGTTCTAAGAAGGAGCTAATGGACTAAAACAGACCACATTCTTAAAGGTCAGACTTAGTAGCCCAAGACCTATACTCAACAGTGCAGGTAGTAATTCCAAAACATCACTGGAAGCTCATGACTTGGTGTTAAGCAAACAGCAGCAGCTTTCTAAAACCAGATGAACACTGGGCTTCTGACAAGGCTTCCTGGATGCTTCCACCTGCAGAAGCTCAGATCAACCTTCCCCAGCCATCTTGATCATTTGTTTCTTGCTAACATCCTTTTGAACTAGAAGGGCTTATGTCTAAATAGAAACTAGTGAAGAACGTAGCGAAAACATTAAAAATTGAATGAAAATTTTCTAATTTGGGGATAAAATTAAGATACTGTCTGGGAGTTATTATGTCATGTTAATAAGGCCACTGAAGCAGTTGTGGTTCACTGTTCTTAAAGCTCACCTCAGCAGAGAGGGGTTGAGACCTCTGGGTTGGTGCTACTGAAAGATCACACTTAGAGAGGAGTAATCCTTAGAAGGAACTTAAAATAGTTCAGACCCTCCTGACACCGAGGTCTCCAGGAAGGGAAAGGCGCGTGCCTGAGCTGCACGCTTTGGGCAGTAAGTCCTCCAATAGATTCCTAAACCTGATGAGAAATTTGTCCAACTCCTACCTTGGCTCCAAATGTTCTGGCCCCAAAATGGAGACGCTTGGTATGGCACACAGCGGTGATGCACCATTTTATGGATCAGTTTAACAGTGTAACCCTCTGACATGGCGTTGCCATTGGTAGTAACAGGCCACCAGCTTTGGACTGAGTTTGCAAGGCCTCAGGACTGACACTTGCCAGGCTTCATCTCTCTGAGCTCTTCCTGACCTGCCTTGCAGCTTTTCTTCTTTTCTTTTCTCTTCTTTTCCTTGGTGGCTTTATAGATAAGGTGCTTTTGCCCATTAACAAGATTTTGAGCATAACAACACCCGGCTTCTTGCTAGTTTTAAACACAGACAGGCCTCGATATGCACGTAGATGTAGAACCTCCAAAAAGCCAAGGCGATCACCTGCTTAAGAGTATTTCCGCTTGGTTTCTTCACCATATGAACATACAGTACTTGGATAAATCTCTCAAATCCTAAACCTCCACTCTCCTGCCTGTAAATAGGTACTGAGGACAACAGTTAGGTCATGCTTGTGACAATCTCTGAGCATTGAAGCTCTCTGTGACTCCAGTGTAAGAGAACAAACACCAACCTCACCGAGGCAGCCGGGCTGTCTTCCACTCACTCCTTCACCAGGTCAGCATAAGCCAACGCCACGGCTGAAAGAGGCTGTCCCGCTGCCGAGACCTTTATACCCAGCTCTGTGTTCCTGCTCCTCTCCTACAGAAGCATGCATACAGCTGCTTTGCGAGTCAAGCCTTAATCCGCTTTACTAATGCAAGTTCCCAAGGAAAGGGAGAAGCACGGGTTGGCAGGATGACTTCCTTCAGTGGCCATGCCAGCCGAGTGTCTACTTTAAGACAGGATGAAAAGTAGTTTTGACTTAACCTTTTTGGACAGCCAGTACCCTCAGGACTCCAGCCTCCCTGTAATACCAAGAAGCTTTATTAAGCTGAAGCTTCCAGCTTCAGCTTTATTAAGTAAAACTTAATAAAGACATTCTGCTGCAGGACAAGAGGGTATCCTTGCTCCAAGTTTTATTAGACTAACTGGTAGCAAATGAAACACAGTAAACTGTATCGTCCCCTCCCCTTCACATGTCCACTTGAAAGCAGCTGAGTATGTCAAAACAGTTAGCCCCCTCTCCTGCAGCAAGCATCACTGCTTCGAACTGCCACCCACTGCGATGCCCTCCTACCACCTGGATTTCTATCTTATATAGTAACGTTTTCCATAATTTATTATTTTATCCATTGCTGCCTAGCTATCTTGTTCGCATCCTGACAGACCAGATATGGGGTGCTCTCCAGATGTTTTGCTAGTAAACCATACAATGCTTCCTTTCTCAGGTTTTAAAGTGAGGGTACAAGATATAAATTCATGCAGAGGAAATCACTCTGAGGAGGATTTTTAGCATTATGCCATACAACACATTTTGCGATCTACAGGAGGACACAATCTTGCCACAGAACGTGCTGAAAAACATTAAGGGGAGGAATGGGAGAAGAGAGAAAAGAAACAACAAAACAGACAAGAGAAACACCACTCTGCTCCCCGAAGTCTCATTTCTTGCTCCTAGCACACACATTTCATGAGGAAGGAGGTTGAGAAAGTCATCAAACCTGCAAAGAGACAAGGAAGGAACAAACGTACTTGTGAAATGAGGAGCTGGCAAGCTGCAAGCTCCCTCTCGCTGGCGTTCATCTTCCTGTTGGAGTCTATCTGGGCACTCTCCAACTGCTTGCTGCGGTTCACCAGGGACTTCACCTCAGACTTCATCTTGCTGATGTAAAGCCGTGCCATGGTGAACTCCTCCTCAATCACCCCATTCACATCTGCTAACTAAAGACACAGAAGATTGCAGTCTTGAAGGTGTGGTTCTTACAGGTAAGTCAACGCAAAGTAGTCTTCCTCCTGTGAAACTCTCGTCTAGAGCTAGGAAGCCTCTGTGAAAGCACAGCAGCCCCCACAGACCTTCAGGTCAGCTTTAAACATGTTATACCACTCTGTTTCGTACAATCTTCACTGATGAGCCTCCAAAGTGAGAAATTAAGGCTTGCGCTCACAGAGTGCTTCATCACCTAAAATAATCAATCAAGCCCACCAGCATGGCAAGAGCATACTTTGAAGAAACCTCATGTCACCAGCACAGGAAATTTTCCTTCTTTCAAACTGCTAAAAGCTGAAAAGCATTTTCAAAGTACTCCTTAAAGAAGCCTCCTTTTGAAGGGTTGTGCTTCTTCAATAAGGAGCTGTAAGACAGACATGGGTCTGGAAATCTCACCTGGCAAGAGAAAAGTAAACACTCTCATCTCTAAGTATTAGTATCATTCTGTTTATACATAATTTCCTTCCCCAGTTTAATGTGGTGCCTTTTATTTCTATTCTTTCTCTTAATAATTTTTCTTCAACTACTTAAAATTCATGTGACCCACTGATGAGCTGCGAAGGTTCTCCTTGAGCGAGCATATGGCTACCAATTTCATAGGCTTTTCGCCTTTTTCCCAGCACGGCCAAGGGGAAGGTAACATGCGCTGTATCTTCTCCCAACAGCCAAAAAAAAAAGTGACTTCTTCCAAAACCCTCAGTCTACTCTGAAATTAAGACACACTTTGAGAAGATGCTAATTGCCAAGAAATTTGAAATTATTCTTCTAAAAGCTTCTCAATCTGGCCTTATTTACACTGACAGCTGTTCTGTAAAATGCTGACATCTTAGTTACTATAAAAATTTCTATTAAACAGCCTCTGCCTCCATTTTCAAAGATTTCATCTTGCAGCTCCTATTACAGCGGCCACCAGAGGTTGCTGTAACATCTCGCAAAGTCTGGTCTTGTGGTCCTGGCATAACCACACCAGTCAACAGGAACCACGTCCTCTGCAGTAAGAGTGAGCTGGAGCATCTGTTGATCTAAGGAGGCTTTAGCAGGATATCAACAACTCTCAGAGTCAACTCAAAGCACTCCAGCCACACACACG